TCCCCATCTCCCCTTTTTCCCGCAGGGCTCCGGGCGGCCGTGACCCTGCTGGAGTCCGGGGGGGACCTCCAGCCCCCCGGGGGGTCCCTGCGCCTCCTCTGCCGCGGGGAAGGATTCGACATCGGGAAATTTGGGGTGTCCTGGGTGCGCCAGAGGCCCGGGAAGGCGCTGGAATTGGTCGCAGAGATCAACAGCGATGGTGGCAGCACCTGGTACGCTCCATCCGTGCGTGGCCGGTTCAGGATCTCCAGGGACAACGGGCAGAGCTCGGTGACGCTGAGCATGAACAACCTCCAGGACGAGGATTCCGGGGTTTATTTCTGTGCCAAACCTGCTCAGTCTGGTTGGGATGTTGATGCTGATAATGGTGACGGTGCCGGTGCTGTCCCCGCCCCCATGTGCCGTCCCCAGCTGTCCCCAAACCCAGACCCCTCCCCAAATCCCAGCCCTGACCCCGGTGCTGACCCTTTATCCCCAGCCGGGCTCGCTCTGGCCCCGGCTGAAAGGGGAGAGTGGGGGCAGCAGGGGCGGAGTTTGGGGTGAAAGGGCCCAGATTTGGGGCCCAGGGCTGCGATTGGGGCAGGATTTGGGTATTGTGGGACATTTGGGGATCCAGCATGGGGGACTGGGATGGCCACCGGAATCGTCACCAACACCAGCATTTTCAGCCGCACCAGCATCAAATTTTTTGGCACAGAAATAAACGCCGGAATCCTCGTCCTGGAGGTTGTTCATGCTCAGCGTCACCGAGCTCTGCCCGTTGTCCCTGGCGATGCTGAACCGGCCCTGCACCGACGGCGCGTACGCGGTGCTGCCACCGTTGTAGATCCCTGCAACGTATTCCAGCGCCTTCCCGGGTTTCTGGCGTATCCACAACATCCCGAAATTCCCGAATGTGAATCCATCCCCGCGGCAGAGGAGGCGCAGGGACCCCCCGGGGGGCTGGAGGTCCCCCCCGGACTCCAGCAGGGTCACGGCCGCCCGGAGCCCTGCGGGAAAAAGGGGAGATGGGGATGAGGCAAAGCCGGATCCGGGCATGTCCCTGGGGGTGCTGAGGTTCTTCCAGAAGGTTCTGGATCCATCCCGAGGGTGCTGAGGGACTTCCAGAAGGTTCTGGAGCCCCCCCAGGGGTTCTAGACTATCCTGCCTGCTGCTGAGGTTCTAGATCATTCCGCGGGGTTCCAGACTCTCCTGCGGGGTCCTGGCTGGGGCTGAGGTTCTGGACTCTCCTGGGTGATCTGGAACCTCAGCACCATCCAGGAGCCGGCAGGAGAGTCCAGAACCCCGGGCTGGCTCCAGAACCTGGGGACCCTCGGGATGGATCCAGAACCTTCTGGAAGAACCTCAGGGATGGATCCAGAACCTTCCGGAAGAGCCTCAGGACCCCCCGGGACACGGCCTGATCCGGCTTTGCCTCATCCCCAT